AAGAATTCATGGCAATGTGACCAAATCTTCCCACAATTATAGCACCGCCTCATTTCTCGCTCTTTCCTCCACTCCGCCTCCTCCTCTTGAATTTGCTTCTCGATGAGGATTCGAAGGCGACGATCTCCCTCCTTGTGCTCACCCCTTGAATGAAATCTTCTCTCCTTATTATGTTGCCCAACTCCATATAAGCATGGGTCCATAGTATTGATTTGAGGGAACCGATACCTCTCCACCGTTGTGATAAACGTTGGACATTCGTTGTGCACAAGCAATAGCCTCGCTCAAGTTGCTTGGATTGTCCCGAATCACCTCATGTTGAATCTTTTCTTCAATCCTCTCTTGAATAAATCAAGGGCTTCAGCTCCACTCATATCTCGTATCTGAATTCGAAGATCTCAAAACTCCTCAATGTACTCCTCCACACTTCCCTTCTGTTCAAGTTTCCACAACCTCATCCGTGCCGTGATGATGGGATCAACTGCTTGAAAATTCTGAAGAAGACCTCGCTCATTGCACTCCAAGAACATGTTGGCCCCGACTCATTGAGCTCCATCATCCAACCCTGAAACCAAGTAGATGCTTTCTCCAACAACAAAGTACGAACAAAAGACCTGCAATGTGATCATTGATATTGAACAAAGCAAGATGATACTCCATTCTCTCAATCCAACCTTCCAAAACTCCCATGGTTCGACTACCTCCTGCAGAAGGTTCTATCTTACAAGCTTTTTGTCATCTTCGTAATCATGGATGTCCAAGATCTAGCTCTCTTGCTCGTTGTGCTGCTTGGGCTTCAAGAGTACGGGCTCTCACTATTTCTTCACTTTCCACCATGGATGGTGACGTCTCCATCTCCATTGGAGTTTCTCTCATTCTCTCATTTTCCATTCCTCTCGCTTTGACTGCAAGTTAATTCTTGAGCTAACTCTTGTACTTGAGTCTCGACTTTGCTCAAATGCGTTTCTCAAATCTCAACTCCTGAATCATTTCTCTCAAAGTGTACTCCATGATTCGCCTCCGTCCCACTCTCTCTCTCAAGATAGGGTTAAGATGAACACTCTCCAATTTCTCAAGATTGGCAACACAAAAGGAATAGGTGATGCTATCACCTCATGGTAATACTCCTCTCCAAAGTTTCTAATAACTAGGCTCCAAACATAGCTTTTTAGGATGATACACACAATAGATTTCATACCGTGTGTTGAATCTCACCGTGGCATTGGTCTATTGAGGTCCATCTCTAAACTAAAATGTAAATCGTGAGATCCCAAGAACATCAGAGGTGACTATAAGTAAGATAACAAGATCTCGAGATCTCATCACTTTATCCATGAAGTTGGCACCAAAATGATAAACCAAATACCGAGTCAACCTTGGTCTCAATGTATAACAAGGACATGAAAAGGATTAAGAAATGGGAATCTCGGTACTATTCTATTTCCCCCATCCATAACCCGCACCCCACAACCCCCTTCCACTACTTGCAGCCAATGGCCACCGCCAAATTCTAACAAACACTCTCTCCTCAAATAATTGTACCAACCTGCACTATTCTTCCAAGAGGGGTGATCCACACTCATAGGAACAATAAGCCTTTACTCGATACCATTGTAACACTAAAGCAATGACTGAATGATTTCCAAGATGAGATATATTTTCTCAATACCTCTCCTTGCTTTATATACCGTGAGGACTAAAGGAGTCCCGAAATCCAAACTATGCCACATGGCTAACATGCGAGGTTGCATGTTTTGTTATCTTATCCTAACCAATTCCTAACAGACGCCTAGCACAATAATCCGATCCAAAGAATGCATGGTAGCCACCTCGTATTTACCCTTTTACTTTTTGGATAAGACACCACTATCTTGTCTTTTTGTGATCTAGTGACCACTCTATGCTTTGGCTAAACTAACTATGACTAACCAAGATTGGTTACACTAACTAACAATGGAATCTCCCCTCTCGCAACTAATGCAATCATCTAGAACAACTCTATGAAACCACTAGATGGATCATCCGCCTAAAAGAAATCTCGAAGATGCTCATATACCATCCCTAACAAGCCCCCAGAGGATATGTGTGGGGATGTGCATAGAGAATGGACAAATAATGATCTATCAAGATATAATGGCTCCTCTAGCTGATACTCCAAGACCTCTAATGGTATCTCCTCGCTCATGGGTGGATGTAGAAGGTGTAAAGAGGAAATCGTCTCCTCAGTAGGACTAGTCATAAACAAAGGATAAAGATCCGTGTGGCCATGCTATACTCCCCGGCCTACCCCAAGATCTTACACCGTCGTAATCACGCCGAATCTGAAGTATCATGTGACTGAATCTGACTCCTAATATGTGTGGCCCGAACAGACTCCCCCTGCAATGTAGCCCAATTCCATGCTCACAATCTTCCAAAATCTAACTGTCACATCTCTATGTCCAACACGTCCCTCTCTAGTATAACGTAGATACTATCGCGAAAGTAATGAAAACAAAAATCATGCTAATTCGTCCATGGGATCGCATGTCAACCGATCGAGCGGTAAGCAAAAATCACATCTAGTCTCGACATGAAGCGTACAAGGTAGCCTATAAAATTAACGTGGATATGGAAATCTAGTCTAAAAAAGCCCTACATGGGAAGCTAACCACTCCCACGATATGATTGGTATACTCAAAATGATCAATGAAGGAATTGATGTAGTGTGCATGTTCCCAAAGTGACAAATGCCGATGTCGATATGATCATCCTTCTCACGTGTGCATCCCAAGTGGTCTAATCATAATCTTTGTGCATCTTTCCCACGTGGGTCTTTACGCCTTGCGAGGTAAAGAGACGATGACACACCAGACATAGTGTATCACACATCACTTTTGGCGGTCCCATGAGAAAAAATGAAGGTACAAGTAGCTCAAAGAGAATAATAAAGACACCGAGCACTCCATCATGTATCTCCTCCCACCTGTAGAACCACAACCCCATAACACCCCACCTCCTATGGAAAAATACTAATTATGAAAACCCTAAAATCTAAAAATGCTCATAACTTTTTATTCTAATCTCCATAATTTTTCAACTAGAATGCAATAGAATCAATGCATGAAAAGGAATAGATTTGAAAAAAAAATCCCGACCATATGTCTAATTTAAGAAAAATCACTCCAAACCCTGAAACAATAAAAACACTCATATTTTAATATACCATTCTCTATAGTATTCAATTTAAGTACCAATGGAACCCAAATTGAAAGACGAAGAGAAATGACTATTCACTCTCTATATTTGGCAAATTGTAACTACAAAATATGCAATAAAGTATACTACCCTATTCTACTCTCTCTTCTCACGGTAATCTCCATGCCCTGGAGCCTAGAACCTAGAACGGAATTGATGAGAGATGGATCCTAGTTAAGTACTTAAGTCCCATCACAGATTAAGCATTACAACCATCGAGTAATGGTGAACTTCAGAAGTACTTCATGCTTACTCGAAGCTTGACTGGCATCTTCAACGATCCTCTCCATTGAAAAGTACAATGAAAATCCTCTCCATTTCCGTCAAAAGTCACGTTTAATAACACTTTGGATTACCAAGGATGGTGTTCACATACATTGATGTAATTCAGATATAAGGAAAATGTTTTGAGTAGGCAAGAAAGAAATCTGGTGGCACCGCAGTATAGAAGAACCAACTTGAAGACAAACGTAAGATAAAGAGAAACAAAAATAAAAAGGAGGAGTACTAAGGGAGGAACGCGAGAGATGGGAATTTTCAAATGATGTAACATGGTAGGTATACAACCAGCCATACATAACATACATATATACATAACAGGTTCAAGCCAGATGTGATTTGACATAAGTGAGTGAAGATAAGATGTCAATATTGTGCAAGGGTTTAGTATGGCAACTTTAGTGGGCACATTCTCGTGCGAAAGTCTGGATCGAATCATAATACGTGTCTTTATTGCACGTGAAGGATGATTGGAATTGCAAGGAATTGTCAATGTTACTTTAATGTCATGGATTCAGATCACAGACGGGTGATATGTCCGTAACTAAATTTTTTAACTTCCTCTCTTCACTTACATCATGAGTGTTTAATCTTCCTTTCTTATATCATGTTTTATGATTTCTGGATTTCAAATTCAAATTAATTGAGTGCTTTTTAGATTGATCAAGAAGGCATTGATGTATATATGAAACGGGATTCAAATTTATCAACTAAATTATTATGGAATTTTGAATTAAATATCTTATAATAATTGTATCAAAATTTTAATTTATCATTGAATAATTATATGACTTGTATTTTTAAGGAATTATATTGTAAAATTTAATTAAGCATACTATATTATTATCTGATATTTGATAAGATAATTTGTTGAACATATAATATCATAAAAATTCACTTTTCAATATTGCAAGAGTGACTAGATTCTAACTATAAAACATGTAGGATACATATATATGTGCATATATTATTCGTGAATGATAATTTCAAACCCATAAGCAAAGAGAGTAAAGAGTATTTGATCCCTCCCTTGACCGTATAATAACCAAAAAAATTATGATAATTCAAATAGTATTAAATATAGCATAAATAAATATAAAGTATAATAACAAAAGGGATGGGAAGACCCCATCAAAGCGTACAAGGATGGAACCAAACCAATAACATGGGGCTAGGTCCCAATAGTATCACATTAGGAAATATATCATACAGTTCATGGCAAAAAGTTTTCTGGGTATATAAAACACCAAGTTCTGTAAAACCAAAGAAGTCTCCGGACACTTCTTTCTCAGCAATTTCGAGGAAGGAAATCGTAAAGCTGGCCAGAGAAGCCGTAAATCCAAAGAAGCACGTAGTGCCTAGAAAGGCAAAGAAGTATCCTTTGGACCCCAAATTAGCTGGTGAACGTGTAATGCAGCAGCCGGATTCGGAAAAAAATATATATATCTTGATGAACTGGGTTTTATAATTGAATTAAAGTTTCACCGGGAAAAACGGGATTTGAACCCGCAACTTATGGCTTGACAGACCAGCGCTATAAACCACTAAGCTATTTCCCCAAAAGTAATGAATTATCTACGATGATTCATTACAAAAAAAAAGACATTGTATTTTTTGGTTGTTGATGATTTCGAGTAGAGGATTCACCCCAGCCTTTCCCTGAGCTATGTCAGGGGCCGGGCAAGTCAGCTCGGGAAATTGTATTATAGGCTCCGCTTCAGAGGAGTCGATAGCCTTGATCAAATCACTTAGCTCCGTGAGCAAGAGGGCCCTTGAACCCGCCAAGGGTATGGGACTTTGGTGGTATAACCCGGTCGGCGACATAAGTAATAAGTGGGCGACTCAACCCAGCTCACCTAAGATATCTGAACTATCTAGAACCAAACCAATAACATGGGGCTAGGTCCCAATAGTATCACATTAGGAAATATATCATACATCACCTAAGATATCTGAACTATCTAGAACCAAACCAGTAACATGGGGCTAGGTCCCAATAGTATCACATTAGGAAATATATCATATATCACCTAAGAGATCTGAACTATCTAGTTCAGAGGGTATACAAACATTGTTAAATATACATAAACTTTGATTGAATGAAAATAATTTAACTTGTGAATATTTATTTCATTAATATGAGTATATAATTGCAGTAAAATATTTTAAATATTTTAAAATAACTGTGGATCCATTGTTCTTATTATTTTGTTATATTTTTCATTGTTCTTAGAAAAAAACATGTTTCTATATGTGAACTTTTTTTCCAACATGTGTAAAAGTAGTGTCAATTACTTTAACATCGATTGCATAAAATATTAATTTTCATAGATATTTTTTAATTTATAAATTCATTTGATGATAATAACAAAAAAGTGTTAAGATCTTATATTAAATTTAATTCTAATATTTTTATTATTTCAATAGAAATAATTTTAAATATATATTTAAAATCTTGTAAAATCTTGTTGAAATTCTTGATGTGAAATCTTTATCATGAAGATGAGTTTTACACTTAAATTACTACAAATCTATGCAAAGTGCAAAAAGGATAAAAAGTTATGTACAACTCTTTTTGTGATCACTATATTTCTGAAATTATTTCAAAATTTACTCCAATTAATTATAAAATTATTCATGTCATCAAAATTATTTTTAACAAAATTCAATCCAAATAATTTTAAAATGAGATACATCACAAAGATTTTGAAATTTAGATCCAAGATTTAACTTATATCAACCATGGTAAATGTGATGAATTTTAAATAAAATTAAAATTATGTTAAAATGCTTCAAAAATTACTCATATATTATTTATTAGGAATTTATATAATTTTTTAATCTCACCTTAATATTATTTATAGATGTCAAACGCTTTATTTGAGAAATGACATACTTTTCATTGAATGTGTTTGGTAAATTAATTTTTTATTAGAAAATGATACACTTTTAAATAAATTTTTTATTTAATATTATAATCAAAAAATTGATTAAATTTTATATCATGATATTTTTATTTTATTACTCATATTGCTGTAATAGTCGAGTTGCAATACATATTAAATAAATTAATTTTCCCAAATACCAGTCCTATGCTAATCTTCGAGATCGAACCATTTCTCAAGATTAAAGTTGAACTTGATGAATATTGCAAAGCCTCCCTTTCGAACCCAACATTTTCCTTTGCATAGCCCTGCCAAGTGAGAGAGCCCACACCTGGGCTATCCCTTCTCTGACAGCCTTGCGTTTCTTTCCTGTGGCAAATTTGGCCAGTCTCATTTCTCCAAACAGATCAGTTTTGCCAATCCTCACCTTAATGTCAAGGATTATCTCATGTAAGTAATGCGCTGCCATGTACTTCGGCCGCTTTGCTTCTGCTAGCGACCACTATGGCTGCCCCGCAAAGGGTCTCAACAAACCGCCCACTTCTTAACCTTTAGGACCCTCATCGTCTCCTATCGCTGTAATTTTTGAGTGGCATGTTCTTCAATAGCGCTTTACGTGACTTTACTTGCTTCACTTTACTTCAATTTCTTGAATTTGTCGATGCAATGTCTCAATTTATTGTTATCCTTGTCACTCTCGCACCACGAAACTCGGTTATGCTTCGACAGCAATGAGTAAGACTGCGCAAACTCCCGTCTAATAGGTGCGCCGTCAACGGCCTCTCTCCCAATAGTGTGACCCGCCCTTCTTACTATTCTTACGTATTCATCTCAAGCCATTAAAATCTTCCCTATTAGACCCAATTCATGTTAAGTTAGCAGAGTAAAAAATTGAATAAAATTATGCGCAGTGGTATATCCCTAGGAATTTTTTATGAAAATAAATATCGACCGCACAGAATTTTAAATAACTCTACACTATATTGAAACCTTACAATAGGACTCGAAAAAAATACAAAATTTATATAATTGAAAATGATAAAAAATTGTATCCAGAAAAATTATATATATATATATATATATATATTCTGATTAAGAACCATTTATTTAAGAGTACTGTCTCAAATTTGTAAATTCTCTACATACATACACTCATAGGAAAACTACGAACCATTGACCATTAAAAAATCAGTATTAAACAATCAGTTTATCAGCTTAAGGAGATGTAATCAGTAAAAAACGTTACCTCCCCTTCTACGACGTAATCAAATTGCACATCGGAAGGAGTGACTGAACAACTGAGGTCGGAGAACGCAGCTGAAGAGGCAGTATGACACCGAAATGTGACCACTGCGGCAGTGGCAGGCAGAGGTCGAAATTCGTTTGTTCCAAAAGCTCAGGCAGGGTCTACATATCCGAATCGTTTGCGAACAGAGCCAGATTCACAAGTCGTTGCTCGTCATGACCCCGGTTACGAAATGGTATTTGAAGTTGGCGCTAGTTGGTAGCGTAATTGGAGCTTCCATGGAGCTTTTCATGAATTACACTGGCTTCTGTAAGTTCTCTGTTAGCGCAAATTGATGTCAGTTGAATGAGATTTCGAAATGGTTTTTGTAATGATTTCGTATTCTAGTACTGGTTTTGGGGTGAAGACGGGAAGACATTGTGACATTTGAATGTTGAATATCAATGTATGTTCATCGAGAGTGTCAGAGAGGTAGTTCGTTCGTTTCCTGCATCTGCTGGGTTTCAAATGCTTTTTCTATGTTGCCGATTTTAGATTGTCTGTTGTGGATTTTCCAAATCGAGAGAATACCTTCTTATCTGTAACTATTACTAGGGCTTTACGCAAAGGGATTTCTCTGAATTGGTATGAAATCGATTCCTGGATCTGCTCTAGGGTTATGGACCTGTCCTATTATTGAGAAGCTTGAATTATGAGGGCAAAAGTTGTGTGAGGCTGCGAATTCGGAAGATCGGAGATTCGATTCCTTGAGAAGAGATTTTTTTTCTGTGTCTGCTTGCTGGGTATTGAGTGACGTATTGTCTAGAAGGTTGTGGTAGCACTTTGCAGGAAGCTTATACTCTTTTCTCACAAGGAGGTTATATAATACTTGTACGGAGTTGTACAAATCAAGTTGTACTGATCGGCCTCATTATTAGTTGTTTCTAGAGGAAGATTCGAAAAGTTTGTCTCATCACTTGGAATGCAGTGATGAGATCTAGTCGACCATAGCAAAACATTTTTGTTCAAATCACAAACTACGTAGATTTTTTCTTTTCATTTTTTATATTTATCGTCTCCCTCGAACTTCAGGTGATAGCTTTTGGTGCTTAATCAGATACCATTGGTGTATGCAACTTCAACAGCAGTCGACGGCACGCCTCTTTGTGGTGGAGCTGTGCTCTAATTTAATTCAAAACTTTTTAATAAATGGTACAAGATGTGACGCAAAATCAGTGTGCTACTAGAAAGTTTTGTCACTTGTTTGGAGTGAAGCGTGTAGTTTTGAGCAATGCGTCTGACCAGAAGGCTGTCCCGAATCTTGCAGATGACAAGGTTGTCACACTTGAGGCACAGCAGAGATTAGAAGCGTTACAAGCTAGCCGGGAAGCTCTGCAAACCAGTGACTCGAATTTATCAGGATCCAACACCCAGTAGTTTTGTTTAGCGGAAGCTACTGTCCGGGACTTAAAATCTTGTGAGCATGATCCCGCAATTTCTTTGCAGTTCAGTATGACCAGATAGCGATTGAGTCGATCAAGTACTCGTAAAGGTCTGTCATTTGTCTTCCCTAAAGGGAATTATATACGTAAAAAGCTCTTGCTTTGTTTACCGCGGCACATTTGAAGCCGATTTTTTAAATTGAAACCATTACAAACAGTAGATTTGTTGCTTGATATTCTGGATTTTCGGATCATGTGTGGCCCAGCATTGGATTTCTACTCTCATTCCTTCTCTCTATGCTTGTCCAGAGGTGCATTTTGGCCAGTGCTTGTTAACGCAATCATCAAATCAATGTGGTTCACAGCCTAGTAAGAAACGTCCCTCGGTGCTTGCTGAATTTCGAGCTGCATGCTGGAGGTCTCTCAGTAATCTGGACTCTTACAACATTTCCTATTTGCGCCAGTGACAAGTTCAAGGGTGTTCTTCTTCTCTTTTGGAAGCAGAGTCTTGTTAGTAATGGATGAAGAAAAGAAGAGGGTGCTAGCACTGGCAGTGCATGTGCTGGCGTCTATGGTGGAGTATGCGATTGTGATGGCCGTGCAGTACTTGGAGATTATGGGCGATGACTCTGTTTCTGACCAGGTGAGAGAATCTATGATTGTGATGCAATAGTGCTGTTCCCGCTGTTAATGAATCTAGCGCTCCATTTGAATCGCACGTTCACTTCCCCTATGAATGTTTTAGGTACGGCATGGCTGCCTCTCTGTATTGGCTCAGCTGGATGCCATTCAAGCCTCTGTTATCTTTCATGACAACCGGAAACGAAAGAGGAAAGTCAAAAGTCTGGCAAGAAAAAGATTGATGGATATGGATCGCTCAGCTATGCCTCGCTTCACCAGTCATGAGAATTACCAGCGCATGTTCAAGATGGACGCGAGATCATTTGAGTGGTTCTGTGAGCAAGTTGGCCCGTTCGTGGAGAAGATGAATACTAATTACAAGAAGAG